ATCAGAATTAGAACAGGAAAAACTTTACTAGGGATCTTATTGCTAAAAGCTTTTGTAATTTTTAATGCCTCAAATTAAATGGAACAGTCCAAGGACTATTTTGAAGTGGGTATTTTAATCTCATGACTACTGGTATCAAAACCATCATTTTATACCAGCAAACAATTGCTCAGCTATTCAGACAATCCACTTTGTGTCTTTTCTGTGTTCTAAAGGAAACTCAGATACAGACATCATAAACTGAACATAAGCAAAAACCACGTCATGGTCCCTTTAAGATAAGGCTGGCAGGGTTTAGCCAGAAGTTACTGAGTGTTCCAGAAATGACATTCTGTGCTCGGCAGTAAGACGAAGAGCTTTTTCCGTGTGTTTTCTTCCCCCCCATTTGGTTACAACAATGAGTCACCATTACCTGCAAAGCTAGACATGTAGATGCACTTCTCGTGCCAGAAAGGCAAGGTACCAGTTGGCCAAGATTTAAAATAAGCAGGGGAAAAAATGTTCAATTCACAGATTTAATTAAACATGAAAGCTTCCACAGAGGAGAATCGGTCCCCTAGCCACCATTCTGCATTAAAAAAAAAAAAAATACCTCTACTGATCTTTCCAAAGAGGCTATACATATTGGTGCATTAACTTTTTTTTTAGAACTAATGAATTTAAAAAGTTGCAGGGTACAGAAAGAACATACAAAATCAGTGGTGCTTTTCAATGGATTCAGGAGAGTTCTAATTTGGGGGGTAGGGTGGGGGGTACCAGGGATTGAACCCAGGGGCACTCAACCACTGAGCCCCATCCCCAGCCCTATTTTATATTTTATTTAGAGACAGGGTCTCTCTGAGTTGCTTAGGGCCTTGCTAAGTTGCTGAGGCTGGCTTTGAACTCCAGATCCTCCTGCCTCAGCCTCATGAGCTGCTGGGATTATAGGCGTGTGCCACCACATCCAGCCCTAATTGTTTTTTTTAATACATGACAGTAGAGTGTATTTGCACATATCTACATACATGGAGTCTACCTTCCCATTCTTGTGGTTGGACATGATGTGGAGTTTCCCTGGTCGTGTATTCACATAGGAACACGGGAAAGTTCTGTCCCATTCACTCCACTGTCTTTCCTATTCCCATCCCCTTCCTTCCCTTCATTCCTCTTTGCCGGATCCAATGAACTTCCACCCCCCTCCCCTTACTGTGTGTTAACATCTGCATATCAGAGAGAACATTGATCCTTTGGGTTTTTTTTTTTGGGGGGGGGGGATTGACTCATTAACCTGATAGTCTCCAGTTCCATCCATTTACCAAGAGCACTCATTTTTAATGATTTGTATAAAGTATCCATTTGTCCCCAGCTCAGAAAACCTGCATCATCAACGAGTAATCCAAACAAAACTCCCAAGTCTTGTCTGATCGCGGCCCATCTCTGAAGGCGACTTGAGTCAACTCATTTACATCCGGGCCGTCTCTTGTGCCCACCTGTCTTTGGCTCCCATGACGCACAGAGAAGGTGAGGTTATGGAAATCCAGGCTCAGAGCTTTCCTACAGACCTAAGGATTCCGTACAAAAGACACACCCGCCCTGAGTTCCCTGCTAAGACAACCCTCTCCCCAGCCCCTCTCCCCCACATGAGATCTTCCCGCCAGGAAACCTGACTCTCCGTTCCTTAATGCTTCAGGCATGCATAGCAAAGAGCAGCTCTTTCTCTCCTAGAGTTCAGACAAGACCCACCATGTGAGCTGCTCCGTTAGGGTTTCCCCTCTTTGTCTCGGTGAAACTGAGAAGCCAGGCAGGATTGAATAAGAGGGTCAACGCATCCTTTATCTTTCCTGAAATAAAGGTAAGAGTGAATAGGATGGTGAGCACACGCTTTTTTACAAACCTCTCTTCACGAAGCTAATATGAAGTTCTCTGCTTATTTCAACATGCCCATGGGGTTCCCAGGGCAGGGGGGGACTGGCTCCTAAGGGACTCCAAGATCTCTGTGGTGTCTGCGTCTTCAGCTCTAATTACGTTTCAAGTCCTGAAGCCCAATTTGCTCGATTTTAATGAAATGTGTCCAAACGTGACTTCCGTGACTAAGTGACAAAGGATATGCTCTCTCGGATACTGGAGTTGGGGATAAGATGAGCTGACAGCTTCGTAGCCAGAGTTGAAAGCAGAGGATTGGAACCCCAAACAGAGAGGGGAGCATATTTCCTTGTGTAGAAACCAGTCCGCCTGTTCTCTAAGAAAAAAGGGAGAGACTGGGGGAGAATTTTCAGTTTCACTAAAGGAAATCTTCCAGGAGCACATTGTTCAACAGAAACATTACCTAAACGAGACTGTTTGTCCAGCAGACCAGGACTATTTTTAATTCTATGTTCTGCACTATTAGTACTCAATAAATTGTTAGCAGCAATATTCCAACTGTGATAAGAAGTCAAGTACATTCTTTGTGTCAGTATCTGCATTTACGTTGCTTTCTATCTTTTTTTCGTGGGGGGCAGGGGTACTAGGGATTGAACCCAGGGGTGCTTAACCACTGAGCAACCCTATTTTGTATTTTATTTAGAGACAGGGTCTCCTTGAGTTGCTTAGGGCCTCGCTTTTGCTGAGGCTGGCTTTGAACTCATGATCCTCCTGCCTCAGCCTCCCAAGCCACTGGGATCACAGGTGTGTGCCTCCACACTTGGCTTACTGGTTGCTTTCTTGAACAGAGAAGTCTTAATGGACAAAGGCAGGTACTTTTGCAGGGACAGCCATGTTCAAGTCTACTTATTTATTTCTATATACTACCTACAAAAAATTTCTATTCTTTTTTTATTTTCTTGTTGAATTTCTCTAATATCTTGGAGCCTCAATACCAGTTTCCAGCTTTAACTAGAATTTTCGTAAATTCTGATTTATGTTCCCATAAAGAAGACAATGAGTGGGGCATGGTGGCACACACCTGTAATCCCAGCATCTTGGGAGGCTGAGGCAGGAAGACTG